AGTAAAACCCCAAGACCTAGGACTGGAGGTTTTCGAGCACTGGCGTCTGCGCTACATTCTTAAAGCGAAATGATAAGACCGATTATCCAAGGAAGAAGGACACCGGTGCCGCTTTTTCATCGAAAATCTTTCAAATTTACTGCAAAACCATTCTATTGTTTCTGCCATGTTCCCTGTCTTTTCTCTGTGGTGCTATCGACGAGCCGTGTTCGCAACGGCACTGTTATCTCGTTGGTCATTTGAAAACTCGGATCGCCATAGTCAAACAAAACACAAAGCTTCCGGGTATGAGAGCCGTGTATGGTCTCCGAAGCTGGTATATAAATCGGTCCTCACTGCGCCAACCTTGCCCCTAAAAACAACGTATGGGGAGCCATTGCCAGATACCTTAGTGAAACCGACTCATTCTCACGCAGGAATCTAGTCACATAATACTAAGGTGTGAAGAAAATGATTTCAGTGAAAATTTACTCCATGGAATTGATATAGTGATATATATATATCATTCGGAATTGGCCTTTATTTTTAGGCGAAACTGTCACTTCTTAGATGCCAATCGTGTTGCTTTATTTTTTAATGAATAAAAAAGCTATTAATTTTCCATGGATAACTTTGGTATTTTCCTGGTAGCTGAATCAATTTCATATGCAGCATGTTTTCAATACCTTTTGTTGCATGCTTTCTTTTCCTTCGATAACTATATCTGATTTCAATTTTTCTTACGTCATTCAGGTGGTCTACACAAAAGATGAAGTGGCTTTCATGCAAAACCTCGGATTTTACCTGGAAAGAGCCTATCGTATTCCAGATTATGGCATGTGGGAACGAGGAACTAAACAGAATCGTAATGTGGTTGAACTGAACGCCAGGTGTGCTTTTACTCTTCTCCGTGCATCGAACGTCTTTTACTCGCCTCCCCTGTCGGATTGCTTTCTTATGCGTACCAGTAGGATGTCACACGCAAGTTTACTCCGCTAACTATGTCCTGTTTAATGTTGACAACGAAAAAAGGATGGAAGCGGGTTTTCCTTCTCGCAAGCGTCCATATTGCACTAAAGTACTGAGGGGTCAAAGTTGGAGACATTAGTGGATAATCCTGTACAGGATTCTTCAAGCTTCATTCATGATACACTCGAACAAGAAAACTCGAATTGTGTTCAGTGTCACGATCCGCTGTTCCAAAGCAACTCAATGGAGCGAATTCATTTACCCACGCTAAACGTGGACAGAACAGCCTCTTATTGGTTGGATGGGCATATATTCTTACCATCGAGTTGTCATGCCTATCTAGCTCCCAATAATTCACTTCTTCGACTTGGTTGTAGGCTCTGCCGTATTCAAGTATGGGTCGGAAGAATTCATTTACTGCTTAATCGTTGGCTTTGTGAAACCGACTGAACCATAGTGGGGTTTTCGGTTGGTGGGAATCATTCCGCATAAGTCATCCGGTTGCAAGGGTAAAGAAGCCATC